ATGGCCGGCACCCAATCGGCGCTGTTTCCTGTGCTACCGAACACAAGGGGCCACGCGTCGCCCAGGGGCGACGGCGCACGGCCGAAGAAAAATCCCACCAGCCCTTTGGCGTGAGTGGCCCCTCCCCCTACCCCCTCCCCCTGGGCCTGGAGAGGGCGGGCCGCGGGTCGTCAGGGGAGTCTTTTTCGACTCCTGGGAGGGCCAAAAAACGATGACCCTCACGAGGATTCTGGCCCCGAGGGGGGGGAGGGAGTTTGGCGCCTGAACTCGTCGTTGAAGTAAAAACATTTTTGGCCCCATTTTGGCCTTCTGAGGGGGCCGCGCTCATCTTCCTTCATAGCAGGGCAGCGCTCCTTTGCGCTTCAGAGGAGGTCGCAAGAGGCCAGATGGCCCCAAGAGGCCCCCAGGAGCCTCCCAAGAGGCCTCCAAGAGGCCCCCAAGAGGCCCCCAAGAGGCCCCAAGAGGCCCCCAAGAGGTCCCCAAGAGGCCCCCAAGAGGCCCCCAGAGGCCCCACGAGGCCCCCAAGAGGCCCCCAAGAGGCCCCCAAGAGGCCCCCAAGAGGCCCCAGAGGCTCCAAGAGGCCCCCAAGAGGCCCCCTGGGGCCGCCAAGAGGCCCCCAAGACGCCCCAAAAGGGGACGAGGTGCCCGAACGCCTCACGCCACGAGGAGCCCGAACGACTCACACCAGGACGAGGGGCCCGAACGACTCACGCCACGAAGAGCCCGAACGACTCACACCAGAAGGAGGGGCCCGAACGACTCACACCAGGACGAGGCGCCCGAACGACTCACACCACGAGGAGCCCGAACGACTCACACCACGACGAGGGCCCCGAACGACTCCCACCACGAGGAGCCCGAACGAGTCACACCAGGAGGAGGGGCCCGAACGACTCACACCAGGACGAGGGGCCCGAACAACTCACACCACGAGCAGCCCGAACGACTCATACCAGGACGAAGAGCCCGAACGACTCACACCACGAAGAGCCCGAACGACTCACACCAGGAAGAAGGGCCCGAACGACTCGCACCAGGACGAGAAACCCCAAACGACTCAAACCACGAGGAGCGCTTTCTCTCCCTCCTCCTCCGCCTCGTCCTTCTCCCGCTCCCACCACAAGGAGGATGTACAACAAGGCGGGAGGAAGGAGGAACAGGGGAGATATGCGGGGGCAGGCGGAAAAACGCCTGACAAACACGACTGTCGGCATGCTTCGCAAGAGTTGCTGTTTTGAGATGGGCTGGTGGGGATACGCGAAGCGTAAAGAATTCATTGGGCCGGTATCAAGATTCAATGGGTTGACTCTGACAATCAATGGCGCTGTTTGAAATTCAATGCGTTGAGAAAAATATCATCTGGGATCTTCAAAACATCGGTTTGGCATTAAAATCATCGTGTTGCCGACGCAATGCAAAAATCAGTGGGCACGATGTCGGGCGCCATCGCCGCGCGGAGCGCAAAACCCATGCCGGGCCGACCCAATTTCACCACCTATCTGCTGCATCCTCCGAACCCAGTCCACCGGGGCCCCGTTCGAACAGAGGAAGTCGAGCAGGACGCACGCGGGGACATCCTCAAGACGCACCCGCCCATTGACCTTCTTCCCGCAGTCCGAGGAGAACGAGCCCAATTGGGCGCGGGCGTCTGGCAACGCGGTCCAGGTGTTCTTGACGAGCAGCAGGAAAGAACTTGGGCCGCGCAGACGGAAGCCCCTCGCGGGCTGGCGCCGGAGCAGCCCGCGGCGCCGGGGCCGCCACCGGCCGTCGCCGCACGGGGCAGAGCGAGGAGCCTCAAGGGCAGGCGGCGGGTTCACGCACGGATGCCTGTGGGCGACCAGGTCGCCGGCCCACGCCAATGACCTGGCGGGCTGCAAGGACGGACGCCACGCAACGCCCCGGACGGCGGGCGGGGGGCGGGCGGGGGCGGCGGCCGGTCGGAGAAGGCGTCGCTGGTCAGGGCGCCGTCGAGAGGGGAGTCGGAAGGAGGGCAGGGCTGGTCGGAGGCAGCGGCGTCGGATGGGGCATTGGGTCCAGGCGCGTTGGCCTCGGCGTCGTCGTCGTCAGCTTGATCTGCCCGGCAGAGTCCGTCCTGCCGCTCGCGATTGCAGCGCTGGCGTTCGTCTGACCGCCCACTGTCGCGCTGCTGGAGTCCGGCGCGTTGCGCAAGGTCGAACTGCCGAGGTTCTTCGGGTCGTTCGCAATGCTGCTGCTGGAGTACGTCCCCCTGCTCGCGGTCGCGCAGCAGGAGTCCGTCGCCCTGCCCCCGACAGCGCCGCCGGCACCTGTCCCGCTGCCCACGGCTCAGCGCCCAGGCCCCGCCTTCTGGCCGAGGCGACGAGAGCCCTGCAGGACGAGCAGCAGTCGAAGGGCCCACCCCTTCCAGGGCGCCCAAAGAGGCCGGCCGCGGCGACGAGGGCTCTCCAGGACGCGCGGCGGCGCCAGAACCCCCCTTCCCCCACTAGCCCAGCACCCCCCACCTCCCAAAGAATCCCCGCCACCCGCAAGCCCGCCCAGGCGCCCACCGCCCTCCCCCCCAGGCGGACTAAGCACGGCACTCGAGCGCGGCCACATCTTGCGCGAGGGCTTCGCCGGCCCCCTGGGGCCCCGCCGCCCCCTGGGCAAGGGCCGCCATGGCCCGGGGGAACCGGGCGAGCCAGGTGGAGGATCAGCGCCGTCGCCGTCGCAATCGTCTCGGCCTAGGGCCGCCACGAGGCCGCCTCCCTCAGGAGCGCCGTCGCCGCCCCTCGGCGGACGGGCGCAGCCCGAACAGTTGTCGGGGGAGGGCGGGCAAATCGGAGCGAAGGGGCCTTGGCTGACCGGGCGACGGAGAGCAGCTCTGTCCACCGTTCTGCCCGCCTCCTCCCGGGGCGGCGGTGCCGCGCCGGCCCGCGGGCCCAGCTCCCCGGCCACCGGGCGCAGCTGCAGCCTGAGATTCGCCGGGCGGCGGCGGCCGCGCGGCCACTGCGCAGACGGCCGCGCTGGGGAGAATTGCGCGAACCTGGCAGTCCGAGCCCAGCGCGTCGGCGGCGACGTCTGCGGTCGAGCCAGGGGCATCGGTCGTTCCCGCGGCCCTGCCCCACTGCCTGCTGGCGCACGCAGCTCTAACTGCTGCTGCACGCTGCCTTCACCTGCGCGACTGGGGCCGCCGGGAGCAGACCCGACCCCGCGGGCGTATCGCGCGCCGGCTGAACCGCATACCTCGCACAAAACCGCTCCTGGTTCGGCGCCCCCACTAGGCCCACATCTGGGCGAGCCGGGCCCAGCCGAGGCGACGCCGGCCCCCCCCCGCCCCCCCAGCGGCGCCAGGCGCCAGGTCTAAGCCCGAGGCACACCTCCTTCGCATGGCCCGGCCGTCGCGGCCCATCCAGTCCGGCCCCAGGCGGCGCCCACTGCCCCCCCCCCAACCCCACCCCCCGCACCCCCGGTCTCGCACACCCCACGCGCGCAAGTAGCCCTGGCAGGAAGATACAAGATGATGCCGCGTTCCCCCGGCAACCCGCAGCGAGCCCTGGGCGGGGAACGCCCCAGCGCGGGGGGGGCGGGCCAGGGGCCGCATGAGGGGGGGGGCCCGGGGAGCACCAGGGGGCACGTGGCGCGCAGTCTCTGGATCGCCCCTGGGCTCGGCGGCGGAGGATCTAGGCGCGCGGCTCGCATCCGCGCCAGCATCAGCCAGTCCAGCCTCAGGCGGGCCACTCTCGCGAGGCAAGCCACCACTAACCGCGAAAGGAAACTCGCGTAAAATCGCCGTGCCCCCCAGTAGCCCGCAGCAGCCACTGGGTGGCGGCCGCTGGAGTAGGGGGGGATCATCGGGGGGGTCGACGGTCGCGAGATCGACCCACCCTCCGACGCGCCGGAGAGCCAGCCGCGGCGACAACGTCTCCCCAGGACGCCCAGAAGCGCCAGGATCTCCCAGGCCACCGCCCCAGATATGGGGTTCGCGCCCGCGTCAGCTCCGGGTGGAGCCGCACGTGCTTTGCGGCGAGCGGGGCGACGCGACTGAGCTGCCGGGGTCCGCCGCGCTGCTGGCGATGCTGCGGCCGAATTTCAAAGCGCCGCTCACGGTTGCGCCGCTGGTTCCCGCTTTCTGGCCGCGGCGACGAGGGGTCTCCGGGGTGGCAGCGGTCGCTGGGTCGACCCCCCTCCCGACGCGTCGGAGAGGCCGCGGCGACGAGGAATCCCCAGGACGCACAGCGGTGCCAGGATCGCCCCCACCTCCGCCCCCCCCCCCCGAGATTCTCCGACCCTCCGAATGTCCAGCCGCGGCGACGAGGGCTCTCCAGAACGGGCAGCGGCACCAAATTCGATCGCGGCCCCCCCCCGACCCTGGGCGGCCGGGCCTCGCCAGGGCGTGACCTTCACTTCCAGGCGGGCCGGTCCGCGATTCACTGGGGACGTCACTGATCGCGGCAAGTCGTTGAAGCGCGGCAGGGGCACATTGAAAGTTGCGCGCCGGGAGGCAGGAAGAGCAGGCTGGGGCTCGCAAAGGGGAAGTCCCTGGGGGCACCAATCGCCGCAACCCCTGGGGCCCGCGCCCACGCCAGCTCCGGGTGGAGCCGACGTGTTTTTTGGCTAGCCAAGTGTGACGACGCGGCCTACGAGAGTCCGTCGCGCTGCACACGATGCTGCGGCTGGAGTTCGCCGCGCTGCTCACGATCGCGCCGCTGGGTTCCGCTTTCCAGCCATGGCGACAAGGAGCATCCAAGAGTGGCAGCGGTCGCGGGATCGCCCCCCCTCCGACGCGTCGGAGAGCCGGCCGCGGAAACGAGGGCTCTCCAGGACGCGCAGCGGCGCCAGGATGCCTGGAACGCACGCACACACGCACACACACACACACACACACTCACACACACACACACACAAACACACACACACACACAAACAAACACACACACACAAACACACACACCTCGTCCTTCAACTCCCCGGCGACTTCCACCTCCACCTCCACAATCTCAAGCCCGCCATCGTCCTCCACGTCCTCCACGCCCTCCACGCCCTCATCCTCCACGCCCGTCCTCCGAGCCCTCCTCCGCGTCCTTCAGCTCGTCCGTCTCCGCGTCGTCGCCCGCGCCCTCGTCCGCCCCCGGCTGCCTGCAGCCCACCCCCTGCAGCTGCTCCCGGGCCGCGTCCAGCCGCGGCCGCAGCTCGTCCACGCCAGCTTCGGCCACGCGCAGCGGCGCCCCGACTTCCACCCCGCGTGCGTCAGCAAGGCGCGCGGCCACCAGCCTGGCCAAGCGCACGGCCTCCGCCAGGCGCTCGGTATCCGCCAGGCGCGCGGCCGTGTCCCGGAGCTGCGTCCGGGCAGCGTCCAGCCGCGCAGCGGCGCCAGCCGCAGCCTTAGCGGCCCCTGCGCTCCACGGCGCACCCGAAAACCTGGGGGGGGCCGCCAGCCCGTCGCTGCAGGCTGCAGCGGCCAACAGTGGGCCTGTCGCTGCCGCGCCCAAGCCGCCCCGGCCACAGTGGCAGCAGCAGCGGCAACAGCGGGCCCAGCGGAGCCGCCAGCGGCAGCGGAGCGAAAGCCGCCACGGCGGCCGCGCGGGCGGCCGCGCGGGCGGCGGCGCGGACGCCAGCAGCGCAAGGCGCCGCGGCGAGGGGCGCCGAAGGCGCCAGCGGGACCAGCGCCTCCAGAGGTGCGCCGAATGGCGGGCGCGGGGGCCGCCACAGCGCCAGGAGCGCCACTGGCAGCCGCCTCCACGGCGCGGGCGGCAGCGTTGCGGCGCTGCCGCCGCCGCCGCCGCGCCGCGGCAGTCTCCATCGCCCACGGCGCGGGGAGCGAGGAGGGGGAGGCCCGCAGTGGTGGCCCTCCCGGTTCCATACAAGCCTCCAGCGGGCAGGGGGGCGCACGCCCTATTTGCGGCAAGCCAGCTTGGCTCCCTCGAGCCAGTCAGCTTGAGCCAGAGGCTACGGTACATTACACACACTGAGTTTTCCTCTCTCTTTTTTTTCTCTCTCTCTCTCTCTCTCTCTCTCTCTCTCTCACGCACACACATTTTTTGGCGTCGCGGCCCTGCGTTCGGCGACAGGGCGGAGAAGGTCGTCAAGCAGCGAACGCGCGTGCGAGACCAGGAACGCCTAAGCTCTCAGAGACTGGCTGGGCACCCGCAGCGGCCTGCGGCCATAAGTCATCCGAGCGTGGATAGCAGGTGAAGCGGTCGAAGGACGAGACTACGGCGCGGTGGAAGAACCATACACCATCCCGGGACTGATTGATGGGGAGAGCGAATAAGCAGCGTGGAGCGTCAAGAAGACCAACACCGACCTCGAAGCCCAAAGTGGCGGGGTGGGGGGGGGGGGGCACACCGTACGGTGCGCGGGTGCCAAGGCCGACCAACGCCAGCGAAAGGGCACAAGGAGCGGAGGAGCAAGGAGGTCACGAAGGCCTGGCAGGCACACACACACACACACACACACACACGCGCGCGCACTTACGAAAAGGGTCCTGGAGGTGTTTCGCCGTTTCCAAGCACCTGGGGCCCTCCAGGCCAACAAAACAGCCTGGAATGAGAAGCTGGCTGAGCTGACCCCGGGGGCGGACCCGTCTCCTTCGGGACCCCCCTTCCTTAATGGCACCCTGCTGCGGGGGGCACCCGTCATGCGATGCGCACGCGCCTGGCCGCCGGCGCCAAGTGGGGTCGCGGGCCCAGCCAGCAGGGCGGCCTCCTTCGCGCACCCGCGCACCCGGGAAGGATGGCGACGACGGCGGCGAAAACAACGACGACGGCCACGACGGCGGCGGCGGCGGAAAGACGTCGGCGACGACGACACCGACGCCAGCGGCGGCGGCGGCGGCGACGACGACGACGACGACGACGACGACGAGGACGACGACGACAACGACGACGACGACGACGACGACGACGACGACGACGACGCCGACGACGGCGACAAGGACAACGACGACAGACGACGACGACGACGACGACGACGACGACGACGACGACGACGACGACGACGACAACGACCTCCACCACCACCGCCACCATCACCACGACGACCACGACGACGACCACGACGGCCACCACAAAAGCCACGGCGGCGACGGCGACGGCGGCGGCGACGGCGACGACGACGACGGCGAACGCGCCAGCGCCGCCAGCGCCGACAGTGTCGGCAGCCAGCGGCGCAGCGCGCCACGCGTGCCGCGCGGTCCTCGGCGTCGGGCGCCGGCGGGGCGCCCGCGGCCTGCCCAGCCGCAGTGGCGCCAGGGGCGGGGCTCATGCCTGAAGGCGCAGGTGGCATCGCCGGCGTCAGCGATCGGCCGACTTCGCAGAGGCCTCCCAGATTCGAGGAACAAGACAGCACGAGCGTAAACCTTCGGAGCTCCGCGCAGATCTCTTGGATCGGCACTGAACTCGCTCCCCTGGCGCTCGGAGCGCGCCAGGGGCGGCGCTGGAGGCGCCGTCAGGGAGGCCCGGCGCCGATCCAAGAGATCTGCGCGGAGCTCCGAAAGTTTCTGTTTATGTCGATGTTTCCTCTTCGACAGGTGGGATCCGAGTAGATGGGGTCGGACGATTGCCGACGCCGGCGTGAAGAAGATCGGGCTCCACACCGAGGCGCAACGCAGATGCATCGGCGATGCAGCGCGATCCTCCGACCCCTTCTACTCTGACCCCATCTAGGGGACCTAGACTTCGGGCGAACTGAATTCAGACTGGGCGTTTCCCTGGGGGTTCGGCCTCTGGGGGCCGTTTCTGGACTCTGGGGCAATCAACAATGAATCCAGGACGAAAAACGGTCCCGTGGGAAGTGGTCAAGACCTCTGGGGCCTACGGTTTGCATCGAAACAAACCAACAACAAAAGTAAGAAGAACGAAACCTGAGTATACTCGGCCAGGGGCTGGCGGCGCGCACAAGAGGGTAGGGTGTAAAGGGAGGAAGGCTTCTTAGAAGGAGGCTGCCTCTTAGAGAGGCGCCACCCCTACATCTACAGATAGGGCCCGAGCCTTCTAAGAAGCAGGGGCGTTTCTAAGAAGCCTGCCCCCTCCCCCATGCCCCCTTGCGCGCGTGTCCGAGATGATCAGAGAACCAAAACAAGACCAGGCAAAAACCCGTGGATGCCGCAGAGAGGCGGCCCGTGGAAGCGACCCGTGGAGGCGGCCCGTCCAGGCGGCGGCATCCTGGAGGTGGCCCGGGCCGTGGAGATCACGCGGCATCCTGGAGGTGGCCCACGGAGGCGGCCCGTGGAGGCGGTCCGTGGGCGCCGCAGAGAGGAAGGCGAGCACACCGTGCCAGGGCCCCGCACGGCCCTGGCCAGGCACGGTCGTGGTGTACCGGATGCCCACTTCGGACGAGCGGTACACACGTCCCATCCGAGGAGGACGGTGGCGTCGGTCGAGCGGCGGCGGCGGCCTCGCCCCACTCGACCTCCGCATGTTCCCTCATCGTCCTCATAATCCTCCTCCTCCTCCTCCTCCTCCTCCTCCTCCTCCTCCTCCTCCTCCTCCTCCTCCTCCTCCTCCTCCTCCTCCTCCTCCTCCTCCTCCTCCTCCCCTCATCGCTCTTCCTCACTCCCCCGCCTTCCCTTTCCCCCTCCCCCTCCCCATCTCCATATCCCTCCCCTCCTCCTACTCTTGAGTTCTGTGGAATTCAATGGAGATCCAGTCAAAATCCACTGAAGTCTCCAGAGAACCACAGAGGTCCCCCTAAGGCCTCTAGAGGTCTCCACGACAGCCTTCGGGAGCATCTGGAGACACCCCGCAAAGAGGAAAACTTACAACAACATCAGTCGCACTCCGCCTCTCATCATCTTCCCCCCAGCCGCCTCCCCCGTTCCTCCGAGCCCCAAAGCACGCGGCGGAGGGGAGAAAGCGTTGCGGCGGTGACGACGACGACGACGACGACGACGACGACGACGACGACGACGGACGACGACGACGACGACGACGACGACGACGACGACGACGATAACGAACGAACGACGACGACGACCACGACGACGACGACGACGACGACGACGACGACGAAGACGACGACGACGACGACGACAACGAACGACAACGAACACGACGACGACGACGACGACGACGACGACGACGACGACGACGACGACGACGACGACGACCCACGGTTCGAGGGTTCCCTTCTGAGTCCTTTTGGTATCCGAGCCCGTTCCCGCCGGACGGGTCTGGGCATGAGCCCGTTAGGCCGCCGAACGGGCCCGGCTCCCGCTTTACATATTCGGGCCGAACCCGTCCGGTCGCCCGCCCGCCGAAAGGGCCTGGACCGAGGGAGCACGCGGAGTGTTGAAGCTTGGACAGGGGGCGCCGACACCAGCACACGGGTTTGCCTCCACCGGGGGAAGATGATCCTATAGTCTGTTGTTGGTGGTGATCTTTCGGCCGCCCAGGAAGCCCCAAGATTACCAACATCACTCTGGCACCCAGGGCGTCTAACTTTGGGCTTCGCACTGCGCGAAGCGCGAAGCGCGAGTAACTTCGCGCTCTCGTGCCGCCACCCAAGGGAGGAGGAGGAGGAGGAGGAGGAGGAGGAGGAGGAGGAACTGGAGCCGAACCGCGAAGCGCGAACCGCGAATATCTTCGCGCCCTCGGTAACCTCGCGGCCTCGCGGGCGCCTGTGGGCTCGAACTCGGGCTCGGGCTCGGGCTCGGGCGCGGGGTGCGAAGAGCACTGGCCAGCACGCGGGCCGAGGGAGGGCGTGGCCGAGGGCAGCGGGGGATCGGCGGAGGGAGGCAGGGCAGGCGGCGGCGCCTCGCGAAGGGGCGCGGAGCGCGCGGGAGCCCGGCGTTGGAGCCCCCGACGCCCCCCTTGAGCGCCACCTGCGCCTGCGCGCCAGCGTCGCGAGGTCTCGGGCCGGCGGACAAGTGCCGAGCCCAGACCTCCAGCGCCTCGAGGAGATCGGGGCGAAGGGTGCTCGCCGTTGGCCTACTCCTGGGGGGGGGCCGCTTGCGGACGCTGGGGCCGTGAGAAAACTTCGCCTGGCAGAGAACCTGCTTCTAAACGCGTGCCGACGACAAACAGGACCGTTGGATACACACGAGCAAACTGACGGATCTGCAATACCCCAGAAAGCTTCGCAGAAGAACGTCAGATCGCACTCTACGTTCCCCACTCACGCACGCACTCTCGCGACTCAAATCGTAAGAGGGGGGACCGTGAGGGGTGATGGGCGGGCCGACGCCATGCGAACACAGGCACTGGAGCGTTCGGTTGAACTTCCTACGAAACGTGTACCGGGTGTGTCAAAATGGGGCGAGACATAATGCGAATGAAGCCACTGGAGCCTTCGGTTAAGCTTCCCATGTGACCACGAAGCGTGTGCCAGAATGGGGCGAGGCACCATTGGAACCCAGCCGCTGTGACCTTCGGTGGAACTCTCTACGGGGCCATTAAACGTGTGATGGTTGTGCCGAAATGGCGCGGGTTACCAAACGAACTCTACGGGGCCTTGGATGTAGCTCCCTATGGGGCCACGAAACGTGTGAGGAGTGCGCCGACACGGGGCGGGTCACCATGCGAACCCAACCACTACAGCCTTTGGTAAGGCCAAAGGTGGGGCCAAGAAACTTGTGAGGGGTCAGCCGGCATGGAGCGGGCCACTGTGTAAACCCAGCCACCGGGGGGGGCGTGGGCCGCTTCGGTGGAGCTCCATAGGGAGCCACGAAACGTGAAGGGTCTGCCGAAATGGCGTGGGTCACCATGCGAATCCAGCCACTGGGGCCTACGGAGCCACGAAACGAGTGGTGGGTGTGCCGAAATGGCGCGGGCCACCGTGTGAACCCAGCCAGTGGGGCCTTCG